ATCCCATGTCCCTCCGTCACTACTGTCTTTTAGTTGTGGAATATTTCTTTGCCAGCACAATGCAATTAATTGTATTGTAATATGTATGTCCAATTGAACTGTGATAACAAATGTAGTAATATAGGAGAGTCCTTTCTTGGGAGGATAGATAGGATAGCCTGTCTTCTTAATAAAAATGACGTTCCTGATATTCAGGAAACCTAGAGCTAAGGATCATTAAACTGGAACTTCAGCCACTCCAAATAAATATACAGTTGAACCAATTTTTTTTATAGTCTTTGACCACCTCCTGTTACATGTCTACAGTCTCCGACAGCTTTTTGTAGCATTATATTGACAGATTATTATGTGCGGCCTTTTGGTGACATCAGGGGCTGCACTTGAGGCCCCCCATATCACGAGAGTTGACCACCTCTGCTGTACAGCATCAAAAGAAAAGCCATGCAGCAGGCATTTCCACTTTTCCTTGGCCATGTAATTTCCTCCCTCCTAAATCTATACATAGTTTTTAAAAAAAAAGCTATTACCTCCGCATGCAGTATCTTAGCCTCAACATTTAGGCCTGCCTGTTCCTTTTGTTTTTTAAATAACTTTAATGGCAGCTACGGCAATAGGCGATGATTAAATATGTGGTACTTTGGTGCACAAAACTTTGCCAGACAAGTATGTTTTGATGAGCTGCAAATGGCAGCTTTGCCTGTGCCAGCAACAAGCCTACGCTGCCAAAAGACCCCAAAAAATTAGGGCCATAGTAAAACAACATTTGATAAAAATATGCCTCCACAAAATAGAAACCTGGATTTGGGGAAGGGCGAGCAGTCTATGACCGAAGGTTTGTACACTTAGTTTTTAGTGCTGCCTGCCCCTCCCCCTGTAAAGTGTGTAGGTTTTGCCCCTGCAGTTATGCCTCCAGTGCGGGGGAACTGGCCACCATCAGGAAATATGGCAGTTTATTTCACCACCTCCTCTAATTGCCGCATTTCCTGCTCCCTCTGGGATGGTAGAAGTAGATCATCAACTTTCCCCTATGATCCATGGACGGGTAAAACATAACCCTTGAAGATGCCCCAAATTTCCTTTTCCTAACTGCCAGCACCCCCATTCCTCCTTCTCATTCATAGCAAGTCAAAATTGACCAATTTGGCATGTTTTCTTTAATTCAGCAGTTTTTTTCATTGATATCACATCTTATATAACGAAGTATATTTCACAAACTCAATAAAACTTCTTATTTTGCCAAAGTGAACTTGCTTCTAGTTGTGGTATAATAACATGTTGTTAGGTATTATCCTAACTCCTTAACTGTTATTTTAATAGAACGATGAAACATCTGGACTCCGCAACATAGCAGAGACATTCAGTGTCTAGTCTGGCTTGATATTTGGTTGCACTGCAATTTTGGTAGGGCAATTGAAGACATTTGGAAATTCCACTCCAAATTCCAGATGTACTGAAGGCCCTTTGCCCAGTGGATGCTAAATACTTTCCATGCAACAGCTTGCCTGAAAACAACAACATCATAAAATGTGTCGATCGGCTTAAGCACTACACAAACCAACTTCGATCATGACCAAAGTTGCCCCAGCTTGGTGACATTAATTGTGCATAGATGTTGATGGTGTCTGGGTTTAATCAAGTCTCACAGTCAAGCCTATATTAAATAAATTGTACTGCTTACAATGCCCATCAGGAACAAAAAAGAAAAAAAACGGGTCACTCGCAATACACAAGTTATTTGCCAGCCTCGATACAGTGTAGCATATTAGAGACCTAAAGTTATACCTAATTAACATAATTTGTATTTATGTTGTTAAACATAAAAACAAAAATCACACTGAATTATACAATCATCCCTTCATCATACACATTTTAAGATCAATACTTGAATTTCTCTAGAACTTCATTTAAACCATCTGGTATTAATATATTCATTCCATAAATCCGAACATTCTTCATCTGACAAATGCTGGAATCTCTTTCCTGTATTTCAAGCACCTTGATGAAAAAGCGTTATTGTGGTACTGTGATAGTGTCTAGAGACACTGAGGGGAATTCATCTAAACTGGAGCAGACAAAATCTGGATCAGTTCTGCATGGTAACCAATCAGCTTCTCCCTTTCATTTTAAAATCTTAACTGAACAGACAAGCTAGTTGGTTGCCATGGGCAGCTGCTCCAGTTTTGATAAATTTCCACACAAGGTTTCTGAAACATTTATATTAAATCTATGTTTGTGCTTTTAATGTCTGAACTGTGTATCCAATAGAACACATCCCACATGTACAGTCAAGCATATACTGTAGATCACGCATTCTGACCCAAAGTTTAGGTATTCATTTATAGCCCAGATGCCTCCGAGTGTGCCACAGTGGTGCTTTTTGAAAGATATGACAGCATGAACAATTTAATTTACATTTTTAACATTTTCTTGTAACCAGCGCATTTTGCTAGATTGTTTCGGTAATGTATTTGTTCCAATAATTCCTTTTAGCTACTACATTGTCTATTGTGTTTGCTCTCCTAAATATGAAGATTGGTTTTCTTTGAAATATTTTTTTCTTTCAGAGGATTTTGTAGCCAATACCAATATTTGTTAAGTATCTCTCCAATATCCTGATATTGTTCATTGCAGGCTGCAATGAGATAATTTATTTTTACAGTTATAGTTGGGATTTGTTACTTTGTTCATGGATGAACATTTATCTTGTGTGAATTTCTTTGCTCTATGTAAAGTTGACCACACACGGTTATTATTTATTTTTTGTGTATCCAACCTGTGAGCAGAGCAAAGCAGATATCACTTATTCCTCCATCCATACTAAACAGCATGAATGGACAAATCACCCACTGGGTGATGTATTCTGACAGGGGCTGTCAGAATACATCCGACCCACAAAATTTTGATTTGTGGGTCGGAAGGATGGCGTCAAAGCCACCCACTGGAAATTCACACAGCATATGCCAAGCTATAAGCTCCATTTATTATGGATTCAGGATTGATTCGATCATTAAATCTTGTGTATAAATCTGAGTGATCTTCTCAAAATCAGTGTCTTATTATAATGTTGTCCAATTCCTAGAGTCCAAAAGAATATTCGGTTTTGTAATGTGTACTGGACAAAGGTAAATAACTATTTGAATCCACAGTCTAAAATGTGCATTGGTGGATATTCTTTCTCCTAATGGACCGGTCAGCCAGATATGCAGAAAATGAAACCTAGTCATATTGATGTAAATTTTAAACCCCAATTCAAATGAGACAAAAACAATTGATAGCTAAGGACTTTCCCTTCCAAATATAAAGGTCATCTATGAAGTGAAAATAGAGAAGATTTGTTAAAGGAAGGTGAAAGATAGAATAAGGATGCCAGATGACCACTGGTTAACATTAGATGTGACAGCATTGTATTCAAACATCCATCATAAGAGAGACATTTATTGTATAAAACTCTTCTCTAGATAGTAAAGTAGAGGAAGGAACCGAGGAGATCCTCGAGGCAGATAGGAGGAAAAGGAATCAGGCATATGACCGGCAGAAGCACTGTTACCAGAGGGAACAGATCATTCCCATTGAGGGATGTGGAAATATAGAACCAGCAGCCCACATGTATCCACATCTACATTATGACCCACCATTTGCTTAAGATAAAGCCCAAGTATTCATTGACCTGCAGAGTTCAGAGGTTGCCCTGAGACCAGACTCTTGTAAGCATAAGGTGACCCAGTGATTAGAAACATGTGGTAGTGTAGATTCCTCTGTGCTATTTCCATGCAGAGCAGCAGCATGCGAGCAGCTCGGCACACACCCATAGAGAAAAATAGTGGGTGCATGTACAGTACAGAACTCTAATGGGAGGCTGTGTCAGTGCAGAAGGGGCCAATGAATGGCAAGGGAGACAAGCACATTGAACCATACTGTCCCAACCTCGACAGCAACGAGTTGCAGCAATGCCCCACATTGATCCCTCAGGAAACGGAGCAAATGCACTGGGAGCACCTGGATGGGCAAAAGCCTGTGGGTTACCTTACTCAACTTGCAGCCTGTGAATTGTTCATCTTGGCACTGAGTACATTACATGCCAACCCCACATCTTACGTCTGGCAGGTTCGAGTCCACCTAGGCACAGCCGAGGAAAAAACGGATTTGGATAGCTGCTGAGGGTGCCGTAATGGCTTAGAGCAGCTTAGGGAACATGCTAGAAAAAAAAAAGTACAGAAAAGCATGAGTGTCTCCCTCATACAGTTGCGTACACACCTGAAAACTGGCCGATCGCGGGAGGGACAGGTGCTGCATGTAATTGCACACAGTAGCCTGTTGTTCCCTATGGGAGGACGTGGCTGTATGCCGTCATCCGCACACCCGAACTTGCACATCCGTGCGGGTCTAGGTGTCCGCAATTTGACTTAGACAGTGTGCTTCTAGTGCGGACACCAAGACCTACACCAATGTTCTCTCCATCTACATTGACATCTTTGCATTTTTACCTGATGAGTGAGTGAAATCAACAAAAACCTATTGAAAAAAGGCAAGTCAACACACATTTAAAAGTGAACAAAGACAGTACATGTGCAGTGTTAATTGAATGGCAACGTGCAAACTTTTTCCAAAACCTTGTAAAAATAAATCCGTAAAGCCTTTTTCATTAAAGAACTTTATTTAAAAAGGAAATAATGTCCACACTGGAATTTACATTAAAAAAAATAGACGTGATAGTCTTTAATTCTGCAGGAAAGACTGAGACTTGACAGAAACATATACTGAAAAGACAAATGAGCTGCTGATGAAGTCAAATTAGTAACTTAAAACAAGTATGCAGATCAGAAGTTCTGACTATCTTCACTAGCTGCATGCTTATTTTGGGTCAGTGACTCAAAAGTACCAGCATTTTCAGAGGGAGATCAGCAGTGGATCTCTCTGTAATTTGTATTTCTCAGTACAAATTTCCTTTAAAAGCAAGTCACAACCAAACATGGCTACTAGTTCCAATAGTGTTTGAATTGCTATTGTTCTTTATGATCACTGTCTGGGCAATCCATGTTGGAGTCTTCCAGACATGCTGCAGCCTCCTCTTGCTTCACACCAGCAAAGGCACTGCCCTCCTCATCTCTAATGGACTCTTCCACACATCCTGGAGCAGTTTCTGCCGGCACTTCAGCTACATCACTGCCTTCTTTATCATCTGTAATATCATTTATATCAGTGTCCTCGTTTTCTGGCAAGACTTCATCTTCTTTTATGCAGTCCATGTCCTCAACTTCTGCCTGGTTGAGGATGGCTTCCGACTCCGCAGAAGTGTTTCTTGTGTTCTCTCTTTTTTCCTTAAAAACTTCCACTCCCATCATTCTCAAGTAATGCATTCTCTCATTCTTTGGAACAAAGGAACGGATGGAGGTTTTACCTCGCCAGCCTACCAGAACAATTGGGCACTGAAGTGTGTCAGGTTTCCTATTAAAAAATAAAATTGCCCATGAACTTTTACATTAAAAATTAACCAGTCAATCAGTATAAAACTTCCCCAGGCATTTTCAGCCAATAACAAAACTGACCAAAAAAACACTCATTTACTATAGAAAGGAACAAGGTGACCAGTGTTTACTAGCTCTGATGCGGTGTACCCCTCGATACAAAGGTGTGCTGGTACCAAGTTTAAGAGGAACTTCAAGGGTTAATAACATGTGTGCTTCAAGTACAGGGGGTAGACCCACTTAGTTTTCATCTAGGTTCCCTTGTGCCTCACTTCCCCCCTTCGGCTAAAGCGGTATAAAGTCCCAGAGTCATCATGTTCTATATACTGTGTATAGGATGTAAGTACGCCAAGGGACGTACAATCGCTGCAGTGGGACTAGCCAAATAAAATTTGTGCCCGGAGTTCTGCTATAAAAAAGGTATCTAATGTTGGTACCCGACATACTCAAACAGCTTGTGTCTGCACCTTATTCACCCAATAAAACATTAAGGCCAGCTGCGCAACTTATTCAACTCGCTTGAATCAGAAGAGGATTTTCTTGTTTAGTTATAACAGTGTAAAAAATAGCAGCAACTCCAATTCTTCACCATCTCCCAAAGATTGTCAGGATATCTGGCAAGCAATGACTAAGTGTTCAAGGAAGGTTTTAAATCCTAGAGAATTTATACAAGGTTCTTTATAGGTAATACTATACCCCCTGCACATCTGGCATGTTTTATTCCCACTTAGACTACACTTCCATTAGCTTCCCTGGGTGTCCCCTCCAAGGAACAACTGCACATATTTGGTGAATCAGCCCAATCATACATTGACTGTGGATTCAGGAATATAACCTCATTAATATGCTGCTTCATACATATCGCCATAGAAAATCCATGTGAGGCACTTCTCAATAAGCCTTTTACTACAGCTTGAACTTTTCAGCCACTAAACCATTGTCAAGGCCTGGAAAACGGCCACCCTGAATTTCAAGGCAGTTAAGAGCAGACTAACTGGAATCATTATTAATTAAATGCTGACAAGTATCTTAACCAATTCAAATGCATTTTCTCTTATACAGCAAAAGTGGATATCTTGCTCTCAACGTCAATGATATAGTAGCTCTTTGATAGCCATTGAATTGCATCCTCTTCCCAAATGTCTGAAATACTATCTCCAAGACTCCCATCCTCCGAAGGATGATTATGTTGCTTATAACTGCACAAAGGCATTGGGTGCGGAATGTTCATATACATATTTAATCTACCCAACTGCTATGAACTTGGTGCTCATGGAGAGGGATCACATCCACTTCCAAGCATCTTGTCTTCCAATAAAATGATATACTTCAAATGAAAAATAATAATTAAAAGATTACTTACTGTGGATCAGGCTCAAATTTTAGGACAACGCTTCCCATAGCTGAAGATAAAAAAAAATATATATATTTTGTTAAACAATGAGTATTTATAGTGCAGTTCTGTCCTAGCCAAGACAAACTACTTACAGTGTGAGGATTAAAATGTTCTAAACAAATACATGTGTACTGTTGTGAGAGCAGATTATATATTACATGAATAGAGGAGTTAAACTGCAATTAGACTACATTGTGATAGAGAGAGTCTGGTAGAATGCCAGTGCTTGTGGCATGTTCAAGAAAATGAAACATAGATTTGGTCTGCCTTTTTAATCCCCTGGCCTTCTGTTGCTGTATTTTTAAGCCTTTAAACTCAATGTGTTATGCAAGCTTCAAGTATGGACAGCGGTGATGATTCACTGAATATGCTAAACCTTTCAGAAACTCAAGGAGCATGAAAACACAAGTTAGCATTTATAAAAAACATTTTACTAAAAACTGTACTGTATGTTAGCTTCAGTTTTTGAAGACTTAAAAGGAGAACTATGAGGTGAGTGCTTTTCACTCACCTCATTAGTTCAAGCCGAACCTGTGACAATGAAACTGTCACAGGTCGGCTCAGTAGATCGGGAAGAGGGCGAACACATACCGGCGTTCGCTCACCTCTCGATCCTGTCACGGCTCTCTGCCATGACAGGGGAGGGACTGGATTCCCCTCTACCCGCTCCTCCAGCGCTGACTGGCGGATCGGACGGGGGAGGGTACAGCTGGCTCTGCCTCTAGATAGGCAGAGCCAGCCGTCACTCATGCAGCTGGGCGGATCCAGACATAATTGTCGGGATCCGCTTCAGCTGCGGCGTCTCAGTATATTGCGAGCTGTAGCTCGCGGTATACTGAGCTTAGGGTGACGGGAGGACGCTAGTTTGTGTCCTCCCGTTACCCTAAGGAGAACTATAGGGAAAAGCCCTAACCCCATAGTTCTTCTTTAAATGAGGGGGGTCAACTATTTTTTATGCAAAGGGACAGTTAAATTGTTAGAGGGGGCCAGACTTTGTTCTGTAGCAGTTCAAAAAAATAATATTGATCAGTAAGAAAATAAAAAAAAAAAAGCAAAACGTCCACGTCAGTGGTATTAATAAATGCCCCGCATGTGGGAGGGAGGGAGGGAGGAGGAGGAGGAGGAGAAGAAACCTGCTTCATAGGTCAACAGGGCAAAAAAAAATGCCCTGCACCTGTGCGGAGTAAAAAACAAAATGTCCCTGCATCAATGGTCAGCAGGTGTAAACATTTTATTGAATCAATAACATAGATATAAAACACAAACTCATATACATCTCTCTGTAAAACAAAGATTGTGTATCTATAGGTGTGTAGGGCGCACCCATAACAAAGCCGTTCCAAATCACTAATTTCTAAGACAGCATAGCACAAGTTTTTTCCTCTCAAGTAGGTTGCCTGGCTGAAGCCTTAGGCCTTGTTCACACAAAGCGCGGAGCAGATCCGGACCAGAGCAGGTGCAGACCGGATCAAAACTGCGTCCAATGTATTCCTACGGTATTTTGACCTCCAGTTCACATCGCAGCGTGCGGATCCAGACCAGATCCAGACCGGATGAAAAAACTGCGGCAAGCCCTATTTTACCTGCTCTGGATCTGGTACGCATCTAAAAACGCATGCAAGTGCCTGAAAGCCCATGTTAAACTAAAATGTATTTATTTTTTAACCAAAACTGGCCCTAAACGCATCCAAAACGCGGCACAACCCACTGCACTGTGTGCAGAAACCTGACCGGATCTGGTCTGCATTTGGTGTGAACAAGGCCTTAGACACAGAGTTGAAGGGCGGTGAGTAACTGCTCAGCTGTGTGCGTAACTTCCAGCTTAAGCTACTAAGCTCTATAAATGGTTTTTTTTCCCCAACAGGAAGGAAAAATTGGTAAACTTGAAAAGGAGCATAAAGCTTGAGCTGTTGGCTGGAAACAAGAACACACAACATTCCTATGCAATAATTTATATTCACGTGACCAAATAAAATGTAAAGAAAAAAAAAAAAAAGTGTAAATAAATCAACAATGTCCCTTTAAAAAGGAGTGTTACGTTCACTGGAGCTCAAGTCTGCCCCCTACTCTTTCTGAATGGAAGCATCAGGAAGATGTGGTCTCTAGTATGGAAGATGCAAAGGCCATTTCAATGGATAGGATAGAACATGTCATAACATGGACTCCCTGGATACACTATAGACAGCACATTACCTGAAATCCTGGACTGTTTGTGAGGTGGATGAGATCAGGCCAGTAGTAGATACTGAGAGGCCTGATAATTACTTTCTGGTGGAATGCAAGACATTCATTCTTCATTTCACCCCACTACATCTTTTAACACTTTTACAGTGGTATCACTGTAACCAATTTGTTATGCTATATTCATGTCATTTTTTATAAATATATGAAAGGAGCATGAAGACAAAACCAATATATTTAATGGCAAAACAGCTAGATTCAATTCGCTGACAAATGTTATAAGAGTAATGTAATTTACTCACCTAAATCTTTAGTTTGTTTCTGGGTTTCACTACTAAATTTACTTAGGAAAGGATTTTCCTGGGTAAGAAGTACCTTGATGTCGTCTACACATACAGTTACAATCCTTGAACTGATGAATGGGTACAGTGTATAGATGCCCTGCAGATATAGAAAGTGGGATACATTTACACATAAAGATGCACTGAATAATTACACAGCACTATAGCCTACGTTGAATCTTTTCTATTTAACGCTACACCCCTACACTAATGCTTAAACCCATCAGGTTTGATAAACCAATAACACATTTGTGAGTATGTGCACACAAAAAAAAATACCTCTTGAGCTAGTCTGTGAGCACAGCCATATTGTTCTCCATCATTATTCCGGCAGAGCACTTTCACACCAGTATTTATTACCTGTAAGAATGAACACAACAACATTGTTTATTACAACACTGCTGTTTGAAGGCAGCCTGTGCAGAAGTCAGCTTTTACAGCTCATCAAATGTAAATCTTCCACAAGCTGCACACGTGCTAAATTAGTTCACACTTTCCGATTTGTCGTCTAATCACATAATGGGAGCTCATTGGCGAACAACATTTAAATCTTAACTCAATATGCAAACAAGTTGCAGTTATTTCATTTCCTCTTTACCCTTCAATTAAACATGTCAGCAAGACTATTAAGAGTACTTTACAAAGTGTGGATAAGATGCATTTGCTTATGAAAGACATTGCATAATCAAAATGTGAATAGTAGTCACTGATTTCAGAAATATTACATATTAAAGCACGCCTAAACCCAAAAAGTACAATTTGAATATATTGCAGTTTACCAGTCTCTTAATCCAGCGGCTGCATTGCTTTTCTTTTTTCAGGCTCTTTGTCTTTATATTTATCTGCTGATCCTATGAACAACCCACTTCCTGTCCCTTCTTTTCTACACTCAATTCTTTATTGCGTCGATAGGGGCAGTCATGGTCGCCACCCAGGCTGAAACTTCTCAGCACGTCTGCCTTTCTTTCTCTCCATTACATGATGGTACTAGTAGTTTACACAAAAATCAGATTCTTTGTATTTTGCTCTTAAAAACTCACAAGTACTAAGGGAGACACCATTTCTGGCAATAGCAACACATTTACTGTACTTTCTGAAAAAGCTTTTAGCGTGAAAAGTGAAAACAAATTCAGCCATCAGTCAGATAGTGGTAGAATATAAACAGCTTTCTTTATAAAATGTATCCCATTTCCAAGAACAGCACACAAGAAAAGCACTGCTGATACAAGAGCATCTCGATACAGATAAACCAAGTGGTAGCTCCAAGTGGTCCGTTTGGCTATGATGTGACACGCATCACATAATCAACTCCTTATCTGCCAATCAGCATCAACTCTGTGAGCTTCACAATGACGACAAGCTAAATGATCTGCAGGATGCCCACTATTTGACCGCTCACACCGAAGTGAAGCTTCAGAAGTACATAGGGGAATTTACTAAAACTGGAGCAGACAGAATCTGGAGAAGCTATGTATAGTAGCGAATCAACCATCATCTTCAGCTTGTTCAGTTATGCGTTGAAATTGAAAGATAGAAAGTGGCCATACACAGCTGCTCCAGATTTTGTCTGCCCCAGTCTTCCCCTCATAATGTTTAGCAGCCAAACTGAAGCTTCATCACTAGAGGGACCAAAATGTTAACTAATCAGGTGGAAACGACAGACACATTTGTTTGTATGCATACAGCTCAATTAAACAAAGATTAATTCCTCGTAAAAAGGCGATGAAATTAAAAGCAATTGTCTCATATATACCTGCATATCTTTGGTATGTCAGAGCAAAGCATAAAAAAAGTGAAGAGATAATGTATTGCATATACAAGAATATTCTAAAATGGCCTGAACAGACTTGCTGGTACCCCTTCAAAAGATTACAAATAAATGGATCATAGTGATATTTCAAACTGGTTTATGTAAATAGTATCACACATCTTCAATCTTGTATTGAGTCAATAAACCCATTTAAAAATGGGAGAAAAGTAAACACTGCTGTTTGGTATTGTCATGTGAATGCAAAAGGAGAAAGTTGTACGGAGAGATCAGAACAATTATAGAACAGTACGTCAAAAGGTAAAGGCTTTAAGACAATCTCAAAGCTGTGCAATATTCCTGGGACTACAGATGCAAATATCAAGAGGTTTAAGGTCAACAGCCATGTAGCCAACTTTCCTGGACGTGGCAGGAGTAAAACAGACCCCAGATTGAACAGGATGATGGTGTGAAAGGTAGACAAGAGCTAAGAAAAGATAGTGGGCTCAAAGAAAGAAGACCCGGAGGACTCCACTGTTCAAAGTAAATCAAAAGGCCAGACTGGAATTTGCAAAGATGCATATTGACAAGCCGCAATGCATCAGGGAGAACGTCTTTTTGACAGCTAAGACTGGAGTTTTCTGGCAAGGTACATCAGCTTATGCTCAGAGAAATGGTTATGTTTTGGGGCTGCCTTGTTGCGTCTGGCATGGGGTGCCATGAATCTGTGCAGGTCACAATCAGATCTCAAGACTGTCAAGAAATACTGGAGTGAAACATACTGCCCAGTTTTAGAAAGCACTGTCTCAAATCGCTCATCATAGGTACTCTAACAGGATAATGACCCAAAACACACAGGTAAAGCACCCAAAAATGGCTCAGGACAAAACATTACATCCCTGTTCTGAATTCTATCAAGCATCTATAGAAACAGCTGGAACACGCAGTTTAGAGAAGGCACCCAAACTTGAGTTTGCTCAGGAATAGTAAACCAAGCTACCTGTTGGCAGACGCAGAAGTCTCGCTGAGAGCTTGAGAAGATGCTTGTTTGCAGCGATTGCCTCTAAAGGTTTTACAACAAAATATTAGGTTATGGGTCCTATAAGGTTTTGCCCTTGCCATTTTTATTTGTTTTACTATTTAAAAATATTCAGTTAAATCGCAAGCAAATTCTGATTTTATTAAAAATGGAAAAAGACAATGATGGATGCCAATTACTTTAATCCATTTCAAGTTATTTCAGAGAAAATAGTAGGTTCTTTTTTATTCCTTGAAGGGTACCAACAAATTTCTCCATGTGTATTTGTTACACACCACATCATGCTCATAGAAAATACAAACCTATTTGGTTTATACAAATGTTTAAAAAAAAAAAACCCACCTTCATCTTCTCACTATTGTTAAGAAGCACGTTCCTCAGCTCCTTGGAAACCACGTACAATTGCTTCTTCTTCCCCTCCTGAGTGCGTGTTAAGAGATTTGTTTTTGGGAACGATGAAGCTAATCCATAAAATTTCCTGCAAAAAAACACTGTAATTAGACTTCCTCCAACAATATAACTGCGATCAGCTTTAAAATGTAGAAAACTACATAGTAAATAGTTCCAGTTAACATTATATTCCACTGAACAGTTTTTACTGATATGTTTGAAGAGGTGTGTTTTATAATTCCCATTCAAAGCAGATTTTCTTGGAAATAGGAATAGACAAATTGGTGATGAAGTAGTGTTTAAGATCAAATAAAGACCTTCATATTTGGGAATAGATTTGTGGCAGTGTGTTAGTTTAGCCAAAATTCGTATTTCAGCTTTCGTAGATGCTGACCGTCACACCAGACAAATAACAATCCTCCTGTCCCATCGCACTCCTGACCGGACAAAAACCCAAATCCAACTGGGTGGGTGTGGTGGTGACAACAGATGCCTCTGTGAAATGTAGATAGATGAAAGTAGTCACTCGCACTCCATGATATTAAAGTCAATGCTGTTTATTGACTGAGATCACACACATCTCCTTAGCGACGTTTCGAGACCATGCGGCCCCGTCCTCAGGCAAACTCAGGGAAGAGACCCTGAAACTCTCCAGAAGATCTCAGTACTGGTTGTTCTAATACAAGAAACCATTTGTTTATTCTCCCCATAAAAATTCTGCTTGCTCCAGTTTTGATAAATTCAAAAACACCCCCCCCCCCAAAAAAAAAGTTTTAGGTAAATTTATCTTTTAATATTCTCTTTCCAGTTCCACAAAACAAACTAAATTAACACCGATTTCTGTCAGCCGTTGTAGATAAATCTCATCATAAGGATTTCATAAATTCTCTGGCATGCCAGAAAAAGGGGTCACTCTACCAAACTTTAAATCTGGCTTGTTAATTCACACACTGTATAAATTCGTTACTGCTGGCGATGCTCAAATTTGTTGTATCATTTGAATATCCTGTAATATGCAATTTAAAAAACCCAATAACTACTTACTCTATTGGGGGAAATACTGGGTCATCCCCTGATAGAAACACAAATGGGTCTTCTTTAAATCCAAACAACTTCATTTTCTTTGAGGGTGGAGGGCTGGAATGAAATAGGTAAAATCAAGCAAACATCAAAATACCAGCACTTAACATAATTCTAGTAATTTACCCTAAAAAAAATTAAAATAAATTAGAAAAAGTAATTT